CCCCCACCAGAACCCCCAGTACTCACAGTGGAGCCAGGCGAATCCCCGGGGCATGGTGGTGCGCAGGGTGCCCCAGGCTCTAGAGGCGGAGTCCCCGGTGGTGTGTCTGTCCCCAGAGGCCCGAGGGGGCCTACATGGCATCAGGTCAGCACAGGTGGCCCAAAGCGGAAGAAGGGCTGGCCAGGGAGGATGGCCGGGCAGGGTTGCAGGTGCTCCTGGGGCAGTGCCACCCTTATCTGCCCGGCAGTGGGGAGGGCAGCCGGGGGGTGGCGGCTGTGGGTTCCATGGCAGCGGGGATCGGCCGAGAGAGCGGCCTCAGGGCTTCCCTCCGGAGCAGGCTGAGTGCCCGGCAGGCCCCTGGGAATCCAGGCTGGTGGTGCTTTCTCTGACTGCTCCGTCTGCAGCTGCTCAGTGTGAAATCTGGCTCTGGGAAGAGAAAGGAGGAGAGAAACCAATTATGTAAGAGCTGCGCTGCCACTCAGCCATCAGCCCCCAGCACGCGAGCCTGCCTGCTGGGGGTGCTGCACCCCACTGCCCCAGGGCCCGGGAAAGGCCGGGGCGCTCGGTCTGCTGGCCCCGGCGGCTGCTCCTCTGCCACAAGCTCGCACACAAGAAGTGACTCCAGGACGCCCCTGGGGCAGCACCGGCCCAGGCGTGAGCGAGGATGACATGGCCGGCAGCCTGAACAAAAGCAGGACCGAGAAGGAAGGGCTGCCCGAGTTCCATCAGGGGAGCTTCCGGAAGAAGGTGAGGTTTGAAGGTAACGTATTTGAATGACGGGGCTGCAGGGAGGCGAAAATGGAAACAATTCACCCCTCAACTCACCTTCAGCTTTAGTCCCATTCTCCTAGTACCCCAAATTTGGGTCCCCTCTTAATAGATTGCTCACTTAAATTTTAATTTCAGACAAACAACACATCTTTTTTAGTATAATTATGTCATGAATACTTTTTATACGTATGTCCCAAAGCCTGTGTGGGACATACTTATACTAAAAAAAAAATTTTTTTAAATATATGAAAAAAAATTCATTGTTTACCAGCAATTCCAAATTAAGTTAGCAGTCCCATATTTTTATTTTCTAAATTTAGTAACCCTATGATAATAATGGGATAGCTCTTCCTGAGTGCTCACTACATGCTAGGCCCAGGTTAAGGCCTTTGTATTTTCATTGAATACTTACAACAATCTTATGGGGCCAAAAAACATATCATTTTATCAATGAAGAAGTCAGGGCCCAGAGAGGTTAAGACACTTGTCCCAGGTCACACAGCTTGTAAGAAGTGCAACAAGAATTCAAGCCAGGCCTGCTGGCAGCCTCTCCTGCAAGGCGACGCCCACATGTGTCAGGAAGCCCTTCTTAGCTGGGCACTGGGCTTGGCACTCTCATGCCATCTCTCATCTCATCTCTCCCTCACTGGACTCTGCGAGGTGCCGGCCGCTGTCCCCGTTTTGCAGATGAGGAAACGAAAGCTTTGAGAGGCTGAGTTGGCTCTGAAATTCAGTCTCTGACTCAGTTCTCTCTGTTCCATGTCCTTGCCCGCTCTCTGTTTCCCCTCTGGTCGGGGGAAAGGCCACAAGTTGTTGGCAGGAGGGGAAAGTATGATTTGGGGTCTTCTCCACTGTGGCTCGGGGTTTCCCAGCAGGCAGGCAGGGACTCACACAATGAACACAGGCCTCCATTCACGCTGGGTGTGAAGTCACCCCCAGATCTCAACTGCTCCTCTGATCCCGGATATTGCAGTGTCACCATGGACACCCACCTAACTGACACTTCTGTTGTTTAAATGTTTAAGGTGTATTGAGGTATAATTTACAGATAGCAAAATTCACTGTTTTTAGCGTACAAATCTGAGTTTAGACCAGCGGTTCTCAACCTGTGGGTCGCGACCCCTTTGACGGTTGAAGGACCCTTTCACGGCGATCGCCTAAGACCATCCTGCATATCAGATATTTACATGACGATTCATAACAGTAGCAACATGACAGTTACGAAGTAGCAACGAAAATAATTTCATGGTTGGGTCACAACATGAGGAACTGTATTTAAAGGGCCAGAAGGTTGAAAACCACTGGTTTAGACAAGAGTTGTATAATCACTACAATAGCCAGGATATAGGATATTTCCATCCACCCAGAAAATTCCCTCTGGCCACTGTGTGGTCAGCCTCCCTCCCACCCCAGCCTCTGCCGGGCAGCTGCACCTTTCCCAGCTGCCGGGTGCCCGCAGTCAGGCACCTCCCCCAGGTACCCACAGCCAGGCACCTCCCCCCAGGTGCCCGCAGTCAGGCACCTCTCCCAGGTGCCCGCAGTCAGGCACCTCTCCCAGCTGCCAGGTACCTTTTGCACCGGGCATGTGGGTTCAGCCAGGGAAGTGCGTGTATTCGTGGTTTGCTCCTTTTCCTGGCTGAGTATGCCATTGTACGGCCAAATCGCTGTTTGTTTGTCCATCCACCAGTGGCAGGGCATCTGGTTTTTTTGAATTTTCGATAATTATGAATGAAACCCCCACAAGCCTCTGCACACAGGTTTGGGTGGGCCTGGGAGTTTCCATTTCTCTCGGGCGGATCTGTAACTTGAATGTGCTCCTCAGTCCTCAGAACATCAGAGCTCTGCATGCTGACTGCGGGGTGCTGACCGTGGGGTGCTGACCACGGGGTGTGACTGCGGGGTGCTGACAGCGGGGTGCTGACCCCAGGGTGTGACTGCGGGGTGCTGACCACGGGGTGTGACCACGGGGTGTGATCGCGGGGTATGACCACGGGGTATGACCGCGGGGGTCCAGGCAATGGTCTCCCGTCCTGTCCTGCTCCACGGCTGGAGCATCCCTCAGCCCAGACCTCACCAACCACATGCACATCAGGCTCTGTGCCCCGTCCACACCCCACAACACTCCGGGCAGCCTCCTCACCCAGAAACCTCCCGGAAAGGCCCCCGTGCTGAGCCCCACCCAGGACCACAAATCCTGGACCACCAGGCCCTGATGGAGAAGCTGAGAAAGGGAGGAACGGGGTCGCGGTCGCCTTCCCACCACCACGGCACACAGTCCTGGGCTCCATCTGTGGTTACACCCTCCCTTTGAGCCCCCTGAAATGAGGGCGAGAGGCCCCTAACCCATCCCTGGGGCCTAGAACAGCCGTTGGGAAGCCGTGCAGGGAAAAGCTGTGTAAGAAAGTACAAGGTGGACTATGATGTTGCCCAAGTCATTTGTGAATAGCAAAGTCGCAGGAGCAAGTAAGAAGTGAACATTAACTTGACAGAATCACGGCTCAAGGGAGCTGGGAGGTCAAGGAGCTGGGGAGGCAGCGGTATGTAAGGAGGGAATCGGGTGATGGGGGTGAAGTCTCCCCCGGTGGGAAGCCAACAGGTGATGCCTCTTAGGAAGACTTGGCAACATGAGCACCTCATGTAGAAGGAGAAATATATGCGTTGCTTTTTGAAAAAGTGAAAGTCCTGAGTCTGGGGAGCAGGAAGTGGGGAGGAGGGAGCAGACAGAAGCCTGCTGTTCATAACAGGGTCCTACTGGACTATTTGCTTCTGTAGTTCAGGTGCAGGTATAATTTTGATTTAAAGATATAAAACTAGACTTATGCCCTAGCCGATTTGGCTCAGTGGATAGAGCATTGGCGTGTGGACTCAAGGGTCCTGGGTTCGATTCTGGTCAAGGGCACATGCCCGGGGTTGTGGGCTCAATCCCCAGTAGGGGGGGGTGCAGGAGGCAGCCAATCAATGCTTCTCATTATTGATGTTTCTATCTCTCTCTCCCTCTCCTTTCTTTATTGAAATCAATAAAAATATATTTTTAAAAAATAAAAATATAAAACTAGACTTTTCAAAAAGGCATTTCAGTGCAGCAACTACATTGCCATGTTCATTCAGGTTAGGCAGCAAGGGCCTGCTCTCCGGAGCCTTCGTTGTTCCCTCCTTTCCCAAGCCACCTGCCCCTCCTAGCGGCTCCACCTCCGAGGGGCAGGAGCCAGGAGCCAGACTAGAGTCCAGCATCTAACCCGGAGCCAGTCCAGCCTGATGAGGAGATACAGGGTTCTATTTAGGACACACACACACTCTATCAGCTGTGCAACAACCCCCAAAACTATAGTGGCTGAAACAACCATCACTTCTTATTTTTCACGAATCTACAGATTGGCTGGGACTCACCTACCTGGGTTGGGCTGGGCTAGGCTGATCTAGCCTGGGCTCACTTCACGCTGGTAGGCTGGCAGAGTGCTGGCTGGTCTCGGGTGCCTCAGCTGGGATGACTCCCTTCCAGCAGGCTAGCCTAAGTGTGTTCTTGGGACAGAGGCGGGATTCTAAGAAAGAGAGCAAATGAGAAAATGGCTTGAAGGCTGAGGCATAGGACAATCACACCATCACTTCTACCACATTCTATCCACCAAAGCAGACTGGCAGGGGAAGGGAGTGGGGGTACACGGACTCCATTTCTTTTCTTTTTCCTTTTTATTGACTTCAGAGAAGAAGGGAGAAGGAGAGGGAGATAGAAACCTCAATGATGGAAGAGAATCACTGATCGGCTGCCTCCTGCACACTCCCAGTTGGGGATTAAGTTCGCAATGTGGGCGTGTGCCCTTGACCGGACTGGAACCTAGGACCCTTCAGTCCGCAGGCCGGCACTCTATTCTTGATGAGAGGGGCTTCAGAGCATCGTTGCAAAAGGCACGGATGGGGTGTGCATGTGAAGAATCGGGGCCACTTTTGCAACCAATCTATTACACCCACACAGAGCATTCTTCTCCCAAAGTGGCCAGGCCTGACCGGAGGCCCAGGGGACACAGCACTGGACCACCTGCTCCAGCCTGACCACTTCCCTGCAAGCAGGGCTGGGCCGCAGGGGCCTCTGAGGCATTCCATGCAACCCCCACATCCTCGAGATGAGGAAACAAGGTCTCAGGGGGAGGCAGCTGGCCCCAGGCCACACGCCCAACTTCACGCTCCTCCTGTGAATCAAGCCACTCTGTCCTCTGAGAACATGGGGAGAGACCATGAGCCGCCACCAAGGGTGAGTCACAGACGTTCTAGTCAAGAGGAGGTGGAAGGAAAGTAGGACTGAGTTTAGGCCACAGGAAAAGGGAGACAGACAAAAGCAGAAACAGGAACGAATTACTCTGGTGAATTCCATGAGCCCAGGGTCTGTATTTCTGAGTAAAATTTCACCCACCACCTCTGTTCTATACGCAGAAAGACGACGCTAGACCTGGGGCACCTGAATAGCACAGGACCCACCCTTGGCCACATCGGTGGAGCTGGTCTCATCAGAGAAGTGTGCTGGGTCGGAATGCTCCGCCCTTGGCTACCCTTCAGTACAAGGCCTCGCTGTAAAGGAGTCCCTGTTTCTCCAGCCCCTGACTCTGGGCGTTCTCACCTAGGGATGTGCCTGTGCCTTGAGGCTTGTCCTCTCTCGGAGTCTA